ATATATATATATATTGTATATATTTTAATCTATTAATGGCCTAATTACAATTATACTAGTGCTACTTACCGCTTGTTTTTGGTTTCTTTGCGTCACAAACTAACACCACAACAAATAGCTGGAAGACGACGGTTAGTGTCCTTATGTCCATGATGATGTGTCAATTTATATATTGTTCAGTATCGCTGTTCAATTATAATAATAATAATAATAATAATAGGCTAGCAATCAATTTGGTAAAACTGGCAGCGAATTTTTTTGGTTGACATAGAACCAACCTAAAAATGAATCCAGGGCGTCAATGTTTTTGCTTTTTCTTCACCTGTCGTTAAATTTGATGTTGAACAACGTTCGTACTTGTTCCTAATGATTCAATAGCCCCTATAGAAAAGATTCTTATCTGTATTTGGAAGTTAGGTATTGACGGTTATAACTTATAGTCGATACTGGCGTTAACAGGTGGTAAGGCCTATTTTCAGGATCATGTTCCTATTGTTTTGGCTCAGAATTAATATCGATGATTTGTACATGAATTTAGGGAATACTTCAGTTTGTCTGAGCGCAATTGGATGTGGCAAGTAACGCGTTCCCAGCGCACAATGGATGCGTACGCTGCGATAAATTAGACCGTATCGAAATGTACCCGATTTCCGAAACATATCCAACTGGCCATGTTCATATGTTTTCCCATTAAAAAATGTTGTTTCCACTAATCGTCAATGGCACGGTAGTCACTTTGACTTACGCGACTTCGTCGTGATCAGGAAACTTGGTTAACGATTTATTTCCGGTTAATTGCGTCACTTGGTTTTAAATGACTTGAACACCAAACAGACCCTTCCTCAAGTGTGTCACCAAGCCCCTTATTTTTATAGCGTTTCTACGGGGGGATCTGGAGCATGCGTCTCCTGTGATTTGCTCGCCCTCGATGTCTTTGCTTACTTGTTAAGTGAATGTTCTATCTCTCAGATCGACATAAGTGGCTGGCGTGTCAAGCTTAGTCGCTTCTGACAGCAAAAAGCGTTTTTCATAATATTCTTAGTCTGCGGATAGTATCTCTCAAAGAATGACATCTCCAGGAAATCAAAATGAGCTTAAAATAACTTCCTCTATTCCAATTGGATAAAACTGTTTACGCGCTGCGTTTAGTCAACACCTTCAAAGCGTAAGCTATTTCCATAGATTTCTGCAATCAATCGGATTTAATTTAAATTACGCCTTTCTTCTTTAGATAAGCGTATTGTGTTCATCTCCTTTGGTTTTGTTTGGTGTTCAAATTCGTAAAGTGTACATTTTCTTCTTGAGTCTTAATTCATTGAATTTGCGACGGTCTTCTTATGTACTTCAAGCATCTTATTGGCTAACAGCGCCGTTCCGTGAAATAGCTCTGCACCCCCTGGGTAGATTTAACAGTACAGTAATTCGCAGCGTTAACTAACTTAACTCGTATGTCTACTTTGGATCTCTGAAAGAAAATATATATATTTTGCCATCAACAATAAGCCCCTGCGTCTGAACTTTGGTAATAAAAAGTTATAAATATGAATAGCCAGTGTGTATATATGATCCAAAGGTGGACTTATTATGAAGTCATAACAATGAATAAACTATGATGATGGTTTATAAAATAGTTAAATATTGACACAGTTGAAGTACGTGTAAACACAGTATGAACCACCGACTCATCGCCAATCACATTTGATAGTGATTTTGAGAAGCTCTGTTGAATGAATACTGTATACCAAGAATTCAGACGCTTTAGAAAGTTATAAATTCCAAATCAGTTACAGATATACTACAGTATCAGTCAAAAAGACAGGAACCTAAAAAAAAGTGAATATCTCATTTAAAGGGATTAAATAAATTATTAGCTTCCAAAGAAAAACGGATTGAAAAAAGTAGCTTTAATTGATTTACAAACATTTACTACAGAAATCCTTAAATTTATTACCAACTGATTTAATGATCTATGCAAATGAATACATGAAAGTTACTATTTAATTGACGGGTAAATATTTTTCTCATTCAAATTTTTTCTTTGAAGTTAATAACTTATTTAAATATAGAAATTAAGCAATTAAAATGTGAAATTATGACTGATAGTACATGTTTTTGTAAAATTATCATCAAGTTTGACCATAGTTTCTCGAGGTCTCTCTAAACTAAATGAACTAATCTTAACTTTCAATACAAGGCTTAGGCCTATGTGGGGATTTTGTTTTCATTTTTAGAAGTGAGAAAGGATCCTAGCTGTGACGGGATTTAAGCCTGGACCCTGCGATTGATAGAAAACTAATCATTACAACCAGCATACATTTCGAAACATTGCCTTTCAAATATTACAAAATGCTACATTTCTTACAGACTTAATTTCTTTTTTTTTCTCAAGAAAATACTTATTTCTATGTGTTTTATTCATGAAATGACATATTATGGCCGAAGATAATTTCCATATATCGTTTTTTTAATGTTACAAATGCAATTGAGTTGTTCATTGTAAAGCCAGCTGATAATTAATCAAATGTGATTTTGTATTGCATGACGATGTAGAGTGAAAAAATGTTATTCTTTTATGTTGTATGTTGTTACCACTATTATTACTACTATTGTTACTATTATTATTATTAGGCCTATTATTGTTATTAATATTGTTATTATTATTATTTATCATCATCATCATCATTATTGTTATTAATATTATTATATCAGACCTAATTACTGTATTTGCCCAAATATATTTTTGCTATTGCAAAATATTATTTGAGATATTGAAAAAGATACAAATTGGTATACACTCAAACAGATTATCTTTCCAGGTAACGTTACAGTCAATGAATTATCAAAATTAGAGTTCTTTATTATAGATCATAGGTAACATAAAGACGATTGGTATCTGAGTAACTAAGCATACTTTTGTTAAAACTAGATTCAAACTGTATTTACAATCTGTGGAATGACCTTCCTCTTTTTTGAGGGAAATTTAAATATTTACAAATTTAAACGCAAACTAAATCAGCATCTACTAAATAAACTTACAAATGAACAAAATCATGCTCTGAATGTCTTTCTTTTTTTTTTTTTTCATTTGTTTTATTGGTTTTTTTTTTACCCATTGTTTTATTGATTGATTTATTTTTCTTTTTTAACATTTAGTTTATCACTATTTTATTGTAACCTCAATGGAAACTAATACTTTTTTTAGGATTATTTGGGTCTTCACAAATCTATCCATGTTTTTGTTTTAGGCCTATTTTTATTCTCGTTATCTTATTGATATAATTTATCGTTCCCAGCTTTTTCGCTCCCAACCTTTTTTTTGCGTCATTGCTCTGTTTTTGTAATGTGTAGATTCGAAATAAAACAAATAAACAAACAAACAAATAAGCTCATCTGGAATATTCTAATGTTAACCTCTGCAATATTATTTTTGCCAATTCCTGGTTGTTATTTAGACTAAACCACATCTTTCGACAGCACACATTAAATAACATAACATAGCTTAATTCTGCCATACTTAACCTGGGATTTTTAGCAATACTCAAAAATAATGATACATGTCCTAATTATGCTAATTATATTATGAATCGTGTTCTTTTCCACTCAGTTTCTTATATAATTACAACAAATATTACGAAAACAAAGTGTAGGTACGCTATTAGACAGTCCTCTTATTTTTACCCTCGACTATCCTGTACTTAAACATGAAAATTAAAAAAAAAAAACCTCAAACAACACTTCCACTCTGAAAAAAAATTTGTAACGTTAATTTTGCAGTCTAATTGTTTGTGGGCATCGTTGGCATCAAGAATGGGCCTAAGGTTTTTGACCTCTTGCTACTCCAAGAAAAAAAAACGTTTCCCCCAAAAAAATGCATGCATCCTATGCACCCACGCAAGAAAATCTGAGCAAAACCAATAGACTATATAAAGTATTAGGAAGTCACCTCATATCACCTTCTTTGACAGAGCTCTCCTTCAGTTAATACTCAAACCAACCCCCTTCGCTTATACCCCGCTCCCTCCCATCAGCTCCGATCATAGATAAGCCACTGAGAAGGTTATAGCTTACTGATAATGTAACCAGTGTCAACAATACGGAATAATCTAAGTACGTATAGACTAAAGTAAGTTTTTGTAGGTATCAAACTGTATCTGAAGATCACGAAACAAGATAATTTATTTTACTACTTCTGTTGGGAATTTCTCAAACGTATTCTGTTGCATTTTCTTGGCTTCGTTGGATCTTTCGGTAAAGGACGACAAATGCTAACACTGGCGTGCCAATGCCTACACCCACCGGGGATCAGTGTAACGCAGCTACAGAAAAAAACAAGGTTTGAACCACATAGTAACACGTGTGACTATTACAATGGCATTGTAAACTTTTCTTGAAGACAGATTCGAACTTACCTCGTTCCACTTTATTTTTAGACCATAGAGAGGATGATTTAGAAAAGCGCTCTAGCATCTTCAAGTGTTTTAGAACGATTTTATAACAAGAGATTTAACTTCAACCCGTCCCCAAAGCAGCTCTAACTTGTTAATATTTCCATTTCGCTTAATGATCTTATGTCAATATTTGATAAGAATGCATGATCATTATTTTTCTTCGTTCCGACAAAAAGAAATTGATTTATTTCTAACAATGGCTAAAACTCACAAATTAGAATTGATGTTTACCTACTCGAATGAACCCATTGTTAGATGACTGGAACCAGTGTCGGAATATTGCCTTTTAAGTTGCTAATGAATGGCAACAAAACACACACCGGATTGCAGGATGCCGTTAGCTACGGATTAAGGTAGAACGTTATTCTTAAGGGAAAACATTACAAAGAAACGGAGTTGGCTTTTTCAAGTGGATTTACACGATTTTACGCCATAGTTATAACGGTCAGCATACGATTAATCGCACTAAATATCACGATGCATAATAAAACATATGATATGATTGGCTCTGCAGAGTCAATAATGATGATTATGTTAAGCCCTTTTAACATTATACGGTTATAATAGTTTGAATGAGGCTCACCTAAATAATGTTTGTCCTGTTCATCTAAACCAATTTGGATGGATGGGTATTAAGTTTGTTACTTGCATTGCTTATAGGCCTAGCTTGTTCAGTACTGTAGCCTACTACTTGGGAGGGGTATGATTATTACTCTGAGGGTGACTTATGACTTTGATATTTGAGAAATTTGAGATTAAAATTTAAAAAAAAAATAACCGAGAGGAAGGGACTTACAACAAACTCCACCATTTAAATGATGAATACCCCAATAAGGAATTTCATTAGTGCTGACGTACTGGTACAAATCCGGCTACCAAACCAAGGTCATTTTGAGTAGGTGATCGGTGCATGAAACAACATTTTGAAAGCTAGTTGGTATCACATGTGAAACTTCGAAGTAGAATAATTCATTTTTTAGTAGTTATTGGTGTGTTTGTATATGGCATAACCGAGTTTCCGACGCGCGCAAGTCGCCTTTCTATCGCTGAAGGGGGGTATCATAACTTTATAAAGTAGGCCTATACTGCTCTTTCTTTTTATTCATTTTTTGTCTGGCATGTCCTATTATTATCGAAACGTGGAACAAATCTCGAATGTAAAACACATTTGAAAATAAAGTTTAGGCCTATCTTGTAGGCCTATCTGGTAATCTTGTAACATCTCAATAGTATCTGCATGTTCATTAGGCCTATTGAAAAAAGTACGGTTCGACTTCGCTATAAACAATTAAATACCGGTACAATTTAAAAGACATAATTATCATAAATTCTGTAGTTTATTAAGCCAATGAAATGTTATGGTAATATTTGTAAGAAATTCCGTAGTAAAAGATTTACAAATTGCCAAAAGCTTAAATGTTTCTATATGAATCTCGTTTGAGTTTGACACCTCATCTTTGTGGTTTCATAAATACTTTCATAACAACAATAGCTGATTTGATTTGATTGATATATTTCGAAATTCTCACAAGTAAACAAAGTAAATAACTTAAATAGGTCGTACAACAACAAACTCAAAGGTGGAAATTCAACATGGTTTGAAAACATTTTTGAACAATCTACAGCTTGAATAAAATTGACTAGAACTGAATATGGTAGAAGAGGATTTTCATAGGGGAAAACAAACTTTGGAATGCAGGGATGGGAAATCATCTTTCGTCGTGTTTAAATTCTTTAACTGTTGTTTATTGTACTTTACGCTTTATGATATATTGGTCTTATTTTTATGTAATTTTATACGAATGTATGCATACTTGGTCCTTTGGGAGAACATTAATATAAGAGGCCACCCAGTATAAAGAACACATACATAAACTTGATGATCTGCACTCCTGGAGCGAAGTCTTTCCGTTGTATGTGTAGGCCCATTAAAATATTTTAATGTTCTTCTAGATTTTTGATGATAGGAGTTCGCACCAGGAGTGCTAGAGCATAAACTGCAACAAAAAAAATCACAAATCAGTTATAACGGACCATATATCCCATTGAAAAATGTCATGAGTGCAACACACAGGGTGCAGTCTTCCACTCATGTATGTACTTTGTAAGTGTTTGTTCACTGAACACTTGACTCCCTGTATATTGATTCGGGACGATCATTGGTGGGTTTAAATATGTGTGCATAAAGTGATCACATAGTAACAGTGTGTTAATAGTATTAATACTATTCCACACCGTGTCCACACCGTGTCCACACATAGTCAACACACTGTTACTGATGTGTTCTTTCTGTGAACTACACAGAGTGGAAAATGCTGGCTTTATCAATAATACGTATTAAACACTGACTGAACACATAGTCTTTCACTCTGTTGAACACGTGAACATTTACACAAAAATTATACCTGACTGGGGTAAGTTGCATTAAAGAAATCCAACTTGAAGCATCATGGCGACAAAAAAAAAATAAAAATTGAAAAAAAACAACGAAAACAAACAACACCGAGACGATGGAGCCTACCAATCTCCATCGTCTAAACAGCAGCATACTATTTTTCAGGAGGAACTCTGTGGTCCCAGGAACATCTCCTCAGAACTTTAACGGGCGCAAGTCATCGATTCAAAATTCTCAATCGACGACAGCAACACGTCAACACCAACGCTATTCAGGGCTTTGCGTTTTAAAGGGAAAGAACAAACTGTCAATGTCTTTTTTTTTTTTTTTTTTTTTACAAAATTGCACGTAAACCTAAACTAGCCTACAAACTCTGAATTTCATGGTACAGTAGACCTAGTGGCACAGTTTTTAGATCAGTAAAAAAACGCGCAGCTCGAACTAAAGGGATGCATATAGACATTTGCTACTAATTTTATGCTGGTTTTTGGTCATTGTCATAAGTTAACATCATTATTCTAGAAAGGGAAACCTATAACTGAGATCGACTTAAAAGTCTTTGCCAACACACTAGTGTGCAACAATAATGTACCAACGCACCACTCTCCTGAACTGAATTAATACCGATTTCACACTCAATAAGTTTGAATGTTTGGCATGAAAAGAGTAGACGACAAGTTACTATTTGATCACGCCGCTCAATCGTTAAAGGGGCATTATCAGTTTATATTTCTGATGACAGGGTTAGGCATTATGCCTAAGAAAACAGCCAGACTTAGGCCTATTACACTTTAAACATACAATCAATACTGAGATGATCAATAAATAGGCCTATTTGTCCTAACAAAGGGGCTACCCCTGGTCCCGTCCGCGCCGTCCCCTTATGCTTACGTCGAGGAAATCGGCATTCCCGTTGGAGGCATCAACCCAGCCGGGGACCCCCCCCCCCAGATCGGGGACCATCGACCCACCGCCCCCGGTCACAAATCCTGGCGCCAACACTGCGCTGCATCCTTATCCTTTCGTTATCTCATATCGCCTAAACATAGAGAGGGCAGCAAAACTAAATGTCTGTACAGACAAATATGGTACAGAAATAAGGGTGCATAAAACGATGTATTACTTTATTTTACTATTAAACAGCTACTTCTTAGAACGATATTGTTCAAATTATTTTTTTCCCAAGTCGTGGTTGATATTGTATTGCTCCATGGTTTGAGAGAGATTGATGCTTACTCACGAGATTGCAGGAGACGGTGGAGATTTTCGAAACTCTCCTGACTGTATCCACCGCAAGAAGGTTGGGACTCATGCCCGTCATTATGTCTGTTACAAAGTATTAGCCAACTAAAACAAAATTAAAACGCCATATAGCAAACCGACCTTTTAATTAGTAAAATATACATGTAATGTGCAAATAAACTGAAGATGGTTGCTTTTATCAGTCAAAAATATCATAATATTGACAATACGATTTTACGCTTCCGAAAGGTAGCCTGTACTTTAATGTACAGTAATGATGAAAATATAGTTTCTTTATAAATGGGTTTGCACGCCAACAGAGGTTAGAATTTTGGCCCCCAGCAAATCAATCAATCAAAAATATCATTATATTATTGACAATACAATTTTACAACGTTTCCGATATAGGCCTAGGTATCCTGTAATTGAATGTACTGTAATGATGAAAATATAGTTTCTTTATAAATGGGGTTGTACGCTTACAGAAGTTAAAATTTTGGCCCCCAGCCAAAACAGTTTGAATAACAGGGGTGTAAACATTAGGGCCTTAAACAGCACAATGATGATGGTTATCGGTAGATAGAAGAATGTCTGTGTTGTGCTTAAAGTATACAAAAAGTGTTATATAAATATAAACTGTACACTTGTAAATTTGAGTTTATTCATTTATATTTTATCAATTAAAATAATAAAACATAATTAAAAATATTATAAGCTTATTTAAATGTAATAACAATAATGATGACTATAGTAATAACGATACCATAATATGATGTCGATCTTTATATACAGATGATAATAATAAGGGATGCCCTTATCATAATAATTAGATCTACTATTAATATTACTAGTATTAATACTGAACATTAATAAGAGTATGCAGAATATTAAAATATGATAGGCATAATATAGTAACAATAACAATTAGAATAAGTAAATTGATGATAATATTAATTTTATTATGATAAAGGCTATGCGGACAAAATAATATGATTAAAAATAACAGAGCAATAACAATATAATAAAAAATATTTTCTAAAAAAGTAATAATGGTTTTGAATTTTATACCACTAAAAATTTACTGCTGCAGAATCTGAAAAACCTAAAAAAATCATTTCTAATTTTGAATATCTCATTTAAAATGCTCAAATAAGATCGTTGAAAAAGAACTTACATCTAATATAAAATCAAATAAGTTATTAACTTCAACCTGAAACAGACCGAAGAAAACTGTTTTCGCTTATTCACACACTTTACTACAAAAATCCTCAAGTTGATTACCAGCCAATTTGGTTAACTATAATTTCCTAAAGCATATAAGTAACTTATTTAAATATACTAATTAGTCAATTAAAATATGGAATCGGATTTTTCATTTTGTTTTAGCTCATAGAATACAGGTAAATCTTTGACGATAGTGAAGGTGATAGGGAAAAAACAGTTCAACAAGTAAACAATTCCAAGGCGTAAATATCGAGAAGAAAACCTTTTACTCATCAACATCAATGTTATTTTCTGACAAAACCAATTCTAGTTAACGAATACAATTGGTGCCGAGCATTGGACGGATGCCTAGTTTTTTTTTTGTTTTTTTTTTATTGACGTCATTACACTTTGGTGCTTTCTATATCATTGATCATATCCTTAAACACACCAATTATGTGTGAGCCGGTCGCTGCCTCAGTCAGGTACCGTGGTATACGCCCGTTCGCCTCTGCTTGAGCTATATACGTCAAATTCGTTTTATATCTATCCCTGTAAAAACAACAAACTTAAAATCAATTTCGTTATGAAAAAATCATAATCAGTATCAGGGTTCGAATTTCCTCAAAATGCTCCATGAGCAAATAGTTGCTGTGGGCTGTGGCTTTACTACAGCAATATGTATATTCTCCTTCTACAGCAACAAGCTTTGTAAATTGTTTTAAGAAATAGGCCAGTATTCAACAGCAGTAGAAGAATCTTTCTACAGCAATGGCTGTCGGTGCTGTGGGGAAATTCGATCCCTGAGTATCAATGTGATAGTTTATACAAATCCACAAGAATTTTGATTTTAGATTAACTAAAGTTAATTAAGTTAACAATCTAGATTAATTTGGATTAATTGTATGCGCTCGTTAGACTTATCGCTTCATGCCAACTAGGCTTCTAAGCGCCTTACATTTATTACTCCTGGTCATTGTAACTCATGGAACATCTCTCCGGGGGATCTAGTATCTGCGCATTTTGTGTTTGAGCCTACCAGATACCTACTTGTACTCCTAGATGGAGAGACAACCGTATAGGTGAAGTGCTCAAAGACAGTCTCACACGTTACGATTATAACTTACGACAAGCTGCCCTGTTACACGATCGCTCAGTCTAAAATCGTCTGGTGAACGAAGTTGTGGCAAGGTGTAAGAGTACGACACGACACGGATAGTCATCCGTAGAATCTTGAACATGTTCACCCTATAGTGTCGTTAGCGCATGTTATCGTAAGAAAAATCACAACGTGTGAGACTGGCTTTGGTCATGTGATGTCATCATAACCATGGCATGTCACATGTCTTTGTCAAATCTAATTTGATAGTCGTGGACAGAGCTTTACTTATTGTGCTTCTTTAGGAAGAATCCTGAAGGATGAGTAGTTCCTCTCACATAATCATCACCAGGTGGATAGTCTTTGTGATCGATGCTACAAGAGTTGACGCATGTGAAGCCGAGTTCGGGGAACCTCTTTACCACATCCAGATGGATGAAATCGCGATCAGAAATAAGGCCTTGGAGGAGTTTTGTTGCTGAAACTTTTGATATCGTTATATCCTATAAAAAAAAAACCCAGGAAGCAATTTTTCAAAAATTTAACACCGTTGTCACAATCAATTATAAAATAACATATTTGACAACTAATATAATTACAGATATCAGCCCTACTGCTGCTCATTCTTAAGTCGTTTATTTTAAGAGAATTGCCAATTTAGGCATCGTACGTAGGCCTGCATATTAGAAACTCAGGACTGTGGCAAATCATGGGGAAAATCAATAAATCATTCAATCAATTTATAATCAATCTATCCATTAACTGATCAACCTACCAACCAACAATCAATCAATCAATCAATCAATCATTAACTAACTAAGTGATCTTTCAGTCAGCAGTAAGCCGTCAATGAATTAATCAATCCCTTACCTTGGTTACCTCGATCAGCACTTGACATTCTGCGACACTCGAGTCCCATTTTTGACGACGTCCGTGTGGGTGTGGCAGAAAATATGAGAGAGCTTTCTCTGGTTCTAATGGTATTGTGCAATCACCACGATATCTGTGGAAAATGAATCATTATCTAATGATTTTGAGGCATAGTTTTTAAAGCGATTTTTTTTAACTGATAGGAAAACCAACACAACATTTAATAGTTGTTTATATTTAGTGGCGTTTATTTTTTCCGAAGTATGTTTTGAGACTTTTTAAAAATGATTTTACTCCGGATTTACTCGAGCTAGGAACCTGATTCAGTCATCTATCCAAATATGTTAATACCTCATTTTTCAATTTTTACCACAAGACTCATTTTGTCACGACAGCTTACATATTATATTAATTTTCAATCAATTTATTATAATAATATAGAGTATGAGGAAATTTAAAAAAAAACAAAGAACAAGCAACAAAAGAGAGCAAATACGTGATAAACAAATCTACGTGAGATAATGATCTGTGAAACAAAATCAAGAACTAATAATAACATTGGCAAACTAAATATTGTTAAATTTTATGTGAATGGAAATGATCTGAAAAGAAAAAAAAAACAAAGATAGTTAAAAAATACGAGATAGACGACATCTAACAATAGTTGCTATCTAGAAGATAAGACAATCTTCTGAGATTCATCAACAGAAAATCATTAAATCGAAGTTTGAATATGAACAATTATTTAAAAACATGTTTTTTTCACTGTTCAGGGGTGGATCCATGATGCCATGATGTCAGAAAGAAAAAAAGAAGGAAGAGAAGGGAGGTAAAGGAGAGGATATGAGGGGAGCACGGTACTCCACACAAGCTAATTTTCGATTTGGTGACAATAGTTGTATAAGTTATTACTTTCATCACCACGTCATATTTCTTAAATTTTTAAGAGGCTAAGCTATAATAATTCCCATTATTACATCATAGAAAACACGTCTTCGAACGTACATATAACAAACATTTGAAACATGATTTTTGAACTGACAATTTTCAAGGTCGTTACGGTTTTTACTACCGACTATAAATCTGTGATTGTATACGTTGTCTTGTCATTTACTTTCTTTCGGACTTTTTATGAGATGATTTGGTGTCTTTCGTGTTCTTCCTTTATATTTTGGGATATTTTTCTCACAAAGTCAACACGAATCCACACCTTCAAAACTTGCGGTACTTCTTGATATATCTTTTTATTTTCTAGGGTTGTTCATACACATAACCAATAATATTTAGACTTTTACGATAAATTTTGTAATTTTCTTGGTTATAGTATATAAATTTAGTGATCATTACCATTGCCGTTGTGGGGCATGCAATAGTATAATACAGTGTATATCGAATAAATATAACAAATGAAATAACGAAATAAATATAAAGATAAGCGATTATAGGATAAAATAGACAGCTTACACATTTCCTGAAAAGTCCCTTGACTTCTTGCACATGACCGTGATGTTATCCTGCAAGAAATATAGTTTAAATATTAACGATTAATTTGATCCAGCAAATTCAAATACCTCACAACAAAAACATTGCCTCAACACTGTACTCGAGGTAGCACCACGCACAACTACCGTATCATAGGAAACGAAAATAAAACTTTCTTTCATAACGCTTTAAAAGCTTGGAATAAAACACCGGTTGATCCCCTAATATATAAACTTGTTTAAAACAGTTTTTAGAAGCTGCATATTTAGAGCAATGCCCATGGTGGTCTTTTTAAAAGTTTTTTTTTTATGAATTTGAATTTTAACTATTATGTATAAGTTTACAATAAATACTTATTTTCAAAGTGCCGTATTTTACTGCTAGCCTGGACTGATGAACAATGTTTTAATCTTTATATAGTTATTATGTTGTTTTATGCCTTTTAATTTAAACTGATGTTTTTCTGTCATCATGATAACATGTGCAATTATATTTCTATGTTATGCAAGGACCCAAATTGAAATAATTTTTACTTTTTTCGGCTTTTCCTTGTAATTGGGGTCATGTTTGTGCAATATTTATCTTGTCTGTATTCTTTACTCTATTCTTTTTTTTTTTTTTTTTTTTAATCCTCTATTTTTTTTTTTTTTTTTTTTTTAATGACTCTGATTACGAAAAAATTTAATCAATCAATCAATCGATAACTCCACGTCATAGAAAGGCTCGGCGATTTCCATCCAATAGACAACAGAAGAAACATACATGTCGAGTCACAAGAAAAGCTAGGGAATCTAAGGTCAAATCAGGTCGTAGATTCAGTTCTTATTTTCAAACTGCTCATAAAACGAAATTCATAGGAATACAAGTATCAATTTTTATGTTTGTTCTTTTTTTACATGTTTAGCCAACCGGTTGTAATAGCTATTATACTTTGGCTAAAATTTTAAAAAGCAACAAAAAATGTGTTTTCCGTAGAAAGAAAATGAATTGCAACAGCATGGAGAGACTGAGGTGGTCTGGCTAGGTCATTCGTCTGTGAAAGTTCTTTCCTGTATTTCGAATTCTTCATGGATCCGCCATAGACTTTTCAACAATGACACGAAGCAAACAATTAGATGTACCGTAAAGCGTCTAATAGAAAACCAATATAATATTAGTAACCTAGGCTCATAATAGTAACCCACCTTAAAAGTTAGTTTATAATAATGATCCCCTACTCTAATAGTAACCCAGTGGGCTTATCATTAGAAAACTTCATACGCAGTTATAGGCCTGCAGATGACAGTCAAATTAGTATTTTGTCTGTTTTGAGGTTTCTAAATTTTCTTTTACAATACCTGAGTTTAAATTGCCTACCTTATACGATTTGTTTTGAGGAGAGCTTTTTTAATTTATGAAAAGTGATTAGTAACCGTAGGCCTAACCCACCCTAATAACCAAACAAAGGAACAAGAGTTTATATCAGGTATTAAGATATCGTTATTATTTTACTGTTTTACTATGCTACATTTAATGTGGTATTATGCTCCTAATTTAATGATTTATTTATTTAAAAAAACAAGCTTATTGGATTTGAAATGACGATATCGATCAATGCTTTCATTAAAAAAAATCAATAAACATAACAGAAATTTGAAACGTTAATCGAGAGAGGGATCGCATTATTTAATTTATACTGTACATCATTCTTTACTGAATCATATTACATAGGCGTATACGGGTAAGATGATACCTACCATTGTTACCTACGTGAAGTTTTAGAACCTATACAAATATCATAATAATTCTAAAGGCACTACCAATGTTTCAGTTCTCATAATTCTGACTGTAAAAATTGTATTTTACTAAACCTGTTTAAAAATCGATCCATGTTGAACGTGACAGGTATAAACGATAAACACGCATTGATATTTAATCGCAAGATTAACGATTATTATCATTTTGTATTGTCTAGTGTCTCTCCGGATTGTTACCAGGACAAATGATTCAGGCATTATGATTCATGTAATCAATAGATGACTTATACGCATGATGGTTTTGTAGGCCTTTATTTCTAAATAATTCCATACTGATTTATTCAAGGATTTATTCAAAATTTACATAGTATTTACAATAATAATAATAATAATAATAGCAATGATAATGATAATAATTATTATTTGTATTATGACTAAGATGATGGCAGTGATTATTGTATTGTTATTGATGATGATAATGATGATGATGATGTTGATGATAATATATATAGGATATATATATATATGGTCATGGTGTGATGTCATCATGCCCATATATGGGCATATCACACTTTTTTGTCACACAAAATTTGATAGTGTAGACAGAGCTTAACACGCAGACTGCGGAGAACGCTATCTGGTTATTATAAGATCTTTGCTAGCTATCTTGGTACTGGAGACTTGTGTTCAAATCCTGATGGGAACAATAAGTTTTTGTCAAAGAATTAATGATTAGTGAGTTCTTGGTAGTTTGACCTATCCTGCTTGTTGATGTTTTGTTCCAGTTGTTTGCTTTTGCTGTAATAACTTGAAAATATTATTTTTGTTTATTTAGTTGGAGATGGGAATGAAAAATCATGAGATTGTACCTGTCTCTTATACACATCTAGATGTGTATAAGAGACAGGTGTGTGTGTGTGTCAGTGTGAAAATATAGCGAGTACTTTCGGTTATAAATCTTTAAGCTATGCCAGATAGGAAAACGAATACAACATATAAAGACTATTAGTAGGCTTACGGTGTATGTAAAATAGGCAATGAAATAAATTGACCAATTAGACGCAGGAAAGTAACAACAAATTATAATGTAAAACAAATGTATACTTACTGTATATACATGTATATAAAATATGGAATTATTAAGTAGGCCTAATCATTATCAGGAATCCGGAGTGAATTCTCTAATTCTATCATAATCATGTGTGATTGTTTGTTATATAATCGTATAGTTTTCTTTTTAGTACACTAACCTCATCTTTAAGGGGTTTCCAATCCTCTTCGTGGTAATACTCCAACACACGGTTTGATAAAACCTCTGCAAGCTCACAAAAATCTATCGTGGTTTCCATGGTATTGTTACTTTCTTCGACGACCCTCTTCAGACTTCCGTTCAAAGGTCAAGAGGATTTCACAGAGCAGAAAAATGTTCAGTTTGATAAGATGTCCTGCACGCTTTTAAAAACACCGATTCGGAACCAATCGAATGATCATTAATCAATAAAAAAAATCAGACAAATTTAATTATCAGTTCAATATAAGATATATTAAAAATTTAGCAATACTTTTACTACTATACTGTATCATCGGTCAACTTCTGATGCTTGCTGCTATACACTCAGTTCAGCACTCTTCTTATTCGGTCATCCAGTATGTAAAACGATAGTTTAAACTATGACGTCATGCAACACATCATCAAAACTCGTTTGCGTTCCGTGGCATCACAGATCACAATCATTGATCCGTATTTTAACATTGGAGGATGCCGCAGATAAAAGTGGCCTGTAACAGAGAAATGACGTCGTAAAAAGGTACAGTACGGTTAAATAATCAATGAATTTGTAACGAATTATAACTGATAAACTTATCTAGTAGTATTTCAACAAATAAGCAAAACTGTAACGTAAATTTTCAACCCGCACGTTTTTATCGTTCTATGGGGATAATTTTTCCAATCAATAAAGGATTATAAATATGCATATGATACAAAATCAATACTCATGCTGCTATCATAAACCACTAATCCCAATTGGAATAACTCCAGAATGTCAGATCACATGTATTAGGTTTCGGTGCATTTGAACTAACTGCTGCAACCCGCAATGAAGTCTGAGATAGGGAACCGATATCGTCGGCGAATTTCCCGGGGGTTCGCCGCTTCTGACGGGAGACTTACAGTGACGAGTTTCAGTCAGCCGAAAACTAGGATTTCACTATAAAATCAAATCCAATAACTTCATACCTTCTGCTCTAGGTAATCGATACTAGTAATATATGATATATGTTGCACTCAATTACAGTTTGTACCACTTACCAAAAATTAAGAAACTTTGAAGAGGTAAACTGTATCAGACGTCCATCGCACGATCAGTTCGTATCCAATAGGAGAAGAGCATGTGTGTATGTGAATTATGACCATGAAACGACAATGGCTGTTCCGCCCGGTTTAATTAGATTATGGAAGCTCCATGATGAATTATACAACCAGTTTTTTTAACATCTTTACATGATTCTGATTGTTTTAATGAACTTTAACGCATTACGATATATTGTTTTGCGTTAAAAATGATTTTTAAAAAAAAGAGATTTTAGAGACAGGTTTCATGGTGGATACAATATACACGTGTTCACATGATAATGATGCAAAAAAAAAATCATCGACCTTTTGGCCCCTACATCATGTGTAAACATATGTTTTATCCCAAAAAATATATTTTACAGATTGTGTACCGAATATTGAATAAATTTGTTATTGATACTCGCCATGCAAACCTTCAAACCTTATCATTATTATTATTATTATTATTCTTATTATTATTATTATTATTATTATTATTATTATTATTATTATTATTATTATTATTATTATTA